CATACAACAAATACATAAAACTGTCGCACTTTAAATCCAATTCCCACACAACCAGAATGATAATAAAAACCGCGACGATTCTTGTTGGTGCGCAGACAATACAAGACGCGCAAAGGGAGGAAAAAACGACTACAACTCTTTTAAGACGAGTGCACATATCAAACTGTGAAGTAATGAACATCCGTCACAGCAAACAACGGTTGCACAGGGCTGTGTGCGTGCTCGTGCCGGTCACGTGAAATGCGGAGCTGTTTATTCCATAATTGCTCTTTTTCTCTTCCATCTCCTTTCGTCGCATCTTCCTCTCACTTCTTCTGGAGCAACGATAATAAAGCCGGGATCTAAGTTTGTCACAGTGAAATTAGCATAAGTAAATTAGCAAACCTTGAGTCACTCAGTTAATGGCATCAGGTAACCGTCACTGACTGAAAGTTGCGGATCATTAATTTAAGGAACAACGTCGTAAATATGAGCGTTGTTTTTTAACTAGCAGTGAACCAATATCAAGTTCCTCACTGGCGATTGCTTGAGCTAAGAAGGAGTAACTCGGCAGAGATTGTATGAACTCCGGTATCTGTACAGTCACTGCCGGACACTGGAATCGCTTCAAAGATCCGGCAGAGCCGCACAGGACGCACCGAGGGCACGTATCGGGCGTTTCTGTAGTCGCTGAGACAAGCTTGCAATTTTATTAGTGATAGTACTTTTTATTAAAACGCCAGGCGCTTTAATGTAATATCTATTTTTATCTGCACTAATTTCGTTTTTGTACATCTGATGAAATCATAGCCCTTGTATCTTATATTCATATTTACACTTTGTACGGTAATATTCATTCTCCTTTTTTCCTGTAAACAGAATTTTATTACGATACCTTTGGTTTACACAGAAGTAAGCTTTTTTTTCACTACTGGTTCAGGATAAAAACCCCTGTCCTCGATGTTGCAGCATCGAGCATCTTCTGAATTGTCCTATTTTTCGGAGCAAATTAGTTAATTGCTATGGCATAAATAACTGTCTGGTGAAATCCTAGAGACATCTTTCCATTCATGGGCTCAAGTAAAGCCAGATGTGGAATTATGATTATACTGAAGAGGGATCATTTATTAAACATATGTTGTAAGAGTATAAATTACAACACTCTGCTTGCTGTTATTCAAGCGTACCAACCGACGGATGTGTGATCACATTTCGGAGGATAATCCTCCTCGTCCAGATTTCATTTCTGATGCAAAAGGGTGAAAAGAGTGGGCAACGTGTAACAGCAAAACGATTTCGTTCGAAAGTGTTTTTTTTTGTTCCATTAGTGGACCGTTGAACAAACTTTTCAGTGTATGTCTTGGTCACCAAGCAGTAGGTCATCAGCACTGGCTGCTTTCGGCGAATCACCAGCTTTTTTGCCTTCTCCTGGTTGGACCTTTGCTATTTCTTCCATCACTGGCACTGGGCCGCTGTAAAACAAATAAGTCTTTTTTTTAAAATTTTAGTTGGACAAAAAAAAGAAGCATAAAATTTCTCAAATACACAGTGCTCCTTCTCTACACTTGTGTATGATAAGCGTTCAATTTTAGAAGCATCACCGCTCCCGTCTCATAAGCAGCTGTCCTTTCAGCCCTGGGGAGATGATTCCGGCACTGTCAACTTGGTTTAGAAATAATTGCTGAATTGTGTCACGACAGTCAGATGAACTCGAAGGGTAGAAAATTTAGTTGCTACACAAACATAATTTTTATATAAAATTAACACCTCCTTTGTCGAATTTTCAAATTATGGCCTTCTGCGCATCTCAAATTTCCCTGTAATATTTCTTGTACTGTTTCATCATTATTTCTACTAAGAAGTTCATTTCTTTACATTTCTAAAAGCTCTGCAGCAGTGAGTTTGCATCGTCATTTATCATCAAATTATGAGCGAGTTTACTGCACTCCGTAATGTTTTTGCTGTTTTTTGCATCATCGTAAAATAATGTGTGCTTATGCTTAAGGCCGTCTGAGCTCTTACGTCATGCTATCTATGTAGACGCAAGTTTTCAGATCTTTCTCCGCCGTTGCAACTCATATCGCGAACAAAATAAACCTACGTTGCAACGTCGAAACGGAGGATGCTAAGTTTGTTTACTGCAATTTTATCAGTTACAACACAGTGAAGAAACAAATCCAGTGTTTTGGAACGTTTCCGAGGCTTTAATCTTAGAATTCAGTTCAAATGAGATCTGTTGTTCAAGGATGAAGCAAGCTGCAAAATCAAAACTTTGTGGTTCCTAGCTTGCAGTAAAAGTGAATATTACAATTGCAGTTGCATCTGGCCAGTCGTCTTTCTCTAGAAGCAAGCCAGCGGTAAAGCTTTGGGGGATCGCTCTGGTCAAATAGCATCAACCACTTTTTCTTGTTTTGCATTCGTGGTCCGCATTAAACTAGATTTCTGTGGCTATTGGCTTGAATCGGCGAGGGCATCTTTTATAGGAAATCGAAAATCTAGCGCAGGATTGTGCAACAACATACGAGCTGGGGCTGATTTTTCCTTTGGTGGTGCCAGAGTGATGCACTTCTGCTTTGTTCGAACCAGCTGGATAGATGCGTATCGGTGGCTCATTTGGAGTACCATCCTCGCTAACAAATGCTGCCAACCGTTTACTCTTGAAACAGTGTGCCACTGTTGGAATCAGCAGACTTAATGCCAGCAGCACTGCACCGCTTGCAAACACACACAGTCCTGAAATACAAAAAGTAACTTTCCGGTCTGACAAGATCCGATTTTGCTAATGCTTCTGCGCTTATTGCCAAAAAAATCGTTTCATTACAGTCCATTTGTTGATAAAATGGCAATATGTGCTTGCTGTGTTCTGGATAAGGAAAAAGCATAAATGTCAAAAAATAGGCCATCAGTAACGACGACAGAGAGCCGTTGCCAGTTGAGAAATCAGGCATAATTTTACTTTTTGCTAAGTACTTTTCAAAAAATTAAGTATGAGTATCAACTGTGAGTTTTACATTTTGTAGGAGTTTCTTTCAGCTCATAACGGAGAAGTTTGCGGCTTTTTCCTGAGTTATAAACTTTATTAGTCCCGGATACC